AAAGCACTCAACATCTGGTGCCGGGACGTGCGAACACTACTGGACCGGAACTCGAGTGAGCGTCACGAGCGACGCACTGCACTTGTCGCGATGGAACTGCCGCGTTACAGCATCGATATTGCGGCGCTCAATGAAACCCGGCTGGCTGTGCAAGGCAAGTTGCATGATGCAGGTGCTGGCTACACATTCTACTTAGTGGGCAACGCCGCCTCAGCACCACGTGATCATTGGGTCAGAGTTGCAATATCCGATCGCCTCCATGGTTTGCTGGTGGGTGAACCAACAGGCATCAGCGCGCGACTGATCACTGTTCGCCTACGATCAGGAAGTTTGCTGCTTTTATAAGCACATACGGTCCGACCATGTGTTATCCTGATAACACGCATGATCAATTCTACACTCAGCTATCCTCCGTGATACGGTCTGTGCCGAGCAGCGACCGACTATTTCTGCTGGGTGATTTCAACGCGCGCGTTAGGCGTGATGAATCGGTGTGGGCAGATGTTATCGTTCCGCATGGCATTGGTTCAGCGAAAGCGAACGGTGACAAGCTGCTCTCACTGTGTGCCACTCATGGCCTGACGATCACGAACACTCGGTTTGCACTGAGCGCGAGTGATGTAAATCGGAGGCACCCACGGACTGGTCACGCTCAACTGCTCGGTTATGTCATCGTACATCAGCGTGATGTGCGTGAAGTGCGCATGACACATGTACTGCGTGGAGCTGAGTGTAAAACTGATCACAAATTGGCGCGCAACAAACTGTACATATATTTTCGTAAAGCAATGTATTGCACTCCCGCCGTGAATCGGCGTAAATTTAACATTTTCTCCCTCGCTGCTGGGTCGAAACTTACTGAGCTGGAGAAGGTGATAGCTGCACGCCTGTGTGGTGTGGAACGCATGGTCACCGTGGACGAACTGTGGCACCACATTCGCAACCAGGTGACAGCTGTTGCCGAGAAGACCATCGGGCGCGCAAACTCTAAGCGGTCTGATTGGCTTGATGAGAACAATACGACGATTGGCGCATTGGTATGTGAGAAGAATGCAGCATTTGCTGCGCATGTTGCAGACCCCAGTGGCTTGGGGAAGTAGAGTCAGTTTCGCAAACTTCGACGGCGACTGACCCGAGAGCTCCGTCGCATAAAAAACGCATGGTGGACGGAGAAGGCGAAGCAGATGGAATGCTACTCCGAACACCGCCAACACAAGAAATTCTCTGACTCCTTGAAAGCGGTGTATGGACCGAGGTTGGAGCCACTAAGGAAGCTGATCGATGGTAGTTCAGGTGCTACCTGCACACAGACTGCAGACATAATGCAGGTCTGGCGGAAACATTTTGACTGTTTCTCGAACAACTGTTCAGGGACTGACTAGCCCACTTTGAACGGCCTCAAGCAGCACGATGTGAAGACGTGTCTCACGGACACGCTGACATTGGATGAAAAGCAAAGGGCACTTGCTCAGCTGCGAAACGACAAGTGTGCCTGTTCCGACGGGATTCCGCCTGAAGTACTGAAACACGGCCGACCCGCGTTGTTGACTGCGCTGCACCACTTAGTGCAACGCATGTGGATTGAGGAGGAGGTGCATCCTGACCTGAAGGATACCTTTGTGGTGCCATTGTACAAGGGCAAAGGTAGCAAGCAATGTTGCACGAATTATCGTGGCATCAACTTGCTGAGTTGTGTGGGCAAGGTGATTGCCCGAATCCTGCTCAATCGCCTCGTGAGTCAGATTGTGGAGCCTAAACGTGGCGGAAGAGCAGTGTGGGATTCCGTTCGGGGTCGCAGCACTATAGATATGGTGTTTGCGGCTCGTCAGTTGCAAGAGAAGTGCAGAGAAACGATACCAGCCTTTGTACTCGCTTTTTTGTTGATTTTCACTAAGGCGTTTTGATACGGTGAAACCGCGAGGAATTGTGGCTGGTGTTGGGTAAGTTTTGGTTGCCCGCGTAAGTTTGTAAGTTTAATTGGATGTCTACACAGTGGTATGCGAGCGCGGGTGCAGCTGAGTGGAGAGACCTCGGATGACCTAGCAGTTGTCTCTGGTGTGAAGCAAGGCTGTATCTTATTTCCTGCCCTGTTTAATATATATCTTCATGCAATTATGTCTGGCGTTTTTTGATGTCGTTTTTTGCTTACGGTGTTCTTGTGGAGCACCGTATTGATGGTGGATTGCTGAACATCCGTCGTTTCGGTGCGAGAACCCTAGTCTGTGGGACAACTCTCCGTATGTTGCTGAGTCAGGCAAGCCTTGTGAGCCATGAGCGAGACCAATCGGGACCACTACCGAAGCGACGATGGGTCCTGCAGAGAACGTAGGTAGAATCAGCGCAGCGTCTGTAGTTATGCTGCATGCGATTTACTAACCTTGTGCTTACAGGCTAAATCTATTTATTTCAGGTGGTGGGTTTTCAACTTTGTCCTAATGCTTTTCTTTCCCCTATACATGCCTATCTCTACTGTCTTCTATAAACTTGCACACGTCACTTAAGCCAGTTGTAGTTAATTTCGATAACCTTTTCGTGTCTGTGGCATTTCCGTAAAATATACCTTCCGACCTCATGAATTTATCTCGAATTCATTTGTAAACAACTTATTTCATATGCTCATTAATTTAAGATGTATGTCACCGTTTCCTTTTGCGTTACTTGATTTATTTTCTTTTTCATCTTTCTCTCGACTGATTGGCTGTTGCTTGATATCCCCGGTGTGGCTGCTTGAGGCTGCTTGAGGTGCATGTTGACCAGATGCCTACCTGTCTATTACCCACTACCTCGTCCATACTGGCCGTACCAGACAATCGGTCGTTGCTGGATGGGACGGGGTGCACGGTCATTGTGGTCGTACTAGGCTCCAAGAGTGGTTCCATGCACTCAGTGTGGAGCGGACTACGGTCCAGCCACCGCCTTGTGTGTGCTTGATTTCCCAAATATAATGTGCTTGTGTTTGCCTGTGAAGGAGTGTGGGCCCGCTCCGTTTATGAAACGTGGCTCCCATCCACATGCCTCCCGGTCTTATTCCTTCGGGTTTACACTGGATATGGGGTGTGTGGATGGAGCTGTGGGTGGTGCAGCGCAAGCCATCCATGGTCGTTCTGTAAGCGCAGGCTTCCTGTGGCTGGCCACAGTGACAAGTAAATCCGGACGCGGATGCCGCCAACCAAATAGGACCGAAGTCCCACGCTGGAATTTACCGAGTTTTTGGTTTCAAATGAATTGCACGGCTATATTCTGATAACGCTTTAGTTTGTCATCACGTTTAAGTTCACGCAATGGTTCGGTTGTGTAGTGTAGGTTTTCCACGTTTTGTTGCACCACAAGTCCATGTACATCCACCACAGTGAATCATTCATCCCCAAATACTTCTTGTCGAACCACCTGCGCAAGAAGTTGCTCCCATCCATTATGGAAGCCAGCCTCTCAAAGCATTTGTTGCCAACGTGCTAAATGACTAACCAAAATCCACCAGGTGACATTGGGGAATTTTGTGTTAGAAATGACCAGTCGATTGAATAGACGAGGGTCGTCATTTTGCCCCGCAATCCGTGGTGAGCTGAAAATTGTCCATGTTTTCTTCGGTATACTCTACATAAAGGATGTGCTTGAGCAGCTGCTTTACATTATCGCTGCGGCGCAAAGCACGTTTTATATATACCGTTTCGGTCATAAGCTACTCACTGATGTGCACGAGCTTGTGCATATGCGGTTTGTTTCCTGTCCTGATTCTTGTAGAGGAAGCAACGCAATTATATATCGGTAATCCAGCGATCAGATCCCGTAGTTCCATTTTGAACTGTTCATCGACAGATGCCGGGCTGTCTAACGTATGGAGCTGGAAGTCACCCACCAGTTGGAGAATATGACTACTTGACTATGTGATTAGTCTTCAGCATGGAGGCTATGCGAAGCCAGTTTCTGGAGTAGACGACTGAGGAATATACATGACCTGCAAGTGAACATGCGTGGTCGCATCATAGATGCAGATGGTACCAAGGCATATCGGTAATCTGGTTGTCTGGGTCATTGATGAGATTCAGATGTAGTACACCAAATCATTTATTCATTCGATCGTTGCGCAGAACAGACATTACGGTTGGTGGGTTCTCTTTGTCAGTGGTCAGTACACATAGTTATACATTAATCGTCATGATGAGGCCCCATGACCTTGAGGTCTGACGCAGCTGCTGCTCTAACATCTTACCGATCATCTGAATGCTTTTAAATGGATATCAAGTATGGTGTTTGGCTTTCCTTGGTGAGGTCTGTCCCACTTTTCAAACGTTCACCATTTTTTTAAACTAAGACCGTTGAGGCGAAAGCCACTAACCGCATTTTGAGGAGTCCTACTCCTTTAACATTCAATCCTACTGCGTTGCTCCCGTGTCTGTTCCCTGCCTTATGGTCGATCGTATTGTACCGCATCCAGCCGGACGCTGCGTTTGCTCCTACGATAATTCTTCCACTCAAATCCGCAAGATAATGATTCATTGAGCGTTCCATCCTGCTTGAATCGTTGGTTATCCGTGGCGGTTTGATGCTGCTTTCAATCAAATTTCTGTCGGTAGCTACTTGCTAAACTTAACGCAATTATTCAAACCACTTGTTCCATTGCTTTATTCTGAACTAATATCTTGCGTGTTTGCAACTATGCTAATTTAGTGAAAACAGCCCGCATCGGAGGAGCTGATCACATCCAGGAAGTGCACTTTCATTGCATGGAGAGCAATTAATCAGAGCAATTCAATCATCAAATTTTGCGCTTTCGAATCGGCAGTTAACTCCAACATTGAATAACCAACTGTGTTGTTTGAAGAAGCTTTGATTAGATAAACGTCATCATTATCACCATCATCATTTTGCGGTAGCCAATTGCTTCTCTTAAAGCGCACATTACGAGTATGCGTCTGTGTCAAAAATCAGGCATGCAGCATAAACAACATTTTGCCGATTATATCCAACCATGCAACTTATGAGCATTTTGCCGGTTTCAGGTCCAACACACCGGAAGAAAAGAGTTCATTACAAAAACCGGAATCTCGAAAGTGGTTCACTTGGGTGAAGGTGTTCTTCGACATGTACCACACAAATCCGGAGAGATGGTTGTTTCAGGTCGGGTCCCGAATAGACTTAGTCTTTTGGACAGGCGTGGACATCTAGAGTCTCTTCAAATCGAGCAGCTCATTCCAAACGGTCAATATGAGTTCACTGTGCGCCCGAGATATAAGAGCGGTAAGATGGATGAACCTACAGGCGTCTCCGTTTCCGTAGTTTGCCGAACAAAATGGATAAGTAAGTTCTGCACGATGTTCATGAAGGAAGTCTTGGCAGACAACTTACTGATTAGTTGCCGTCATCCTGTTATTTTCTTACCTTTAATTCCAAATAATAAAGATAACTGAATGCCTGTGAATAGCACTAAGGTTACAATGATAAAGTAACTAGCTACATGATTGCAACCACAGCTAGAGCATGCTTCCTATCATCATCATCATCATCATCATCATCATCATCATCATCATCATCATCATCATCATCATCATCATCATCATCATCATCATCATCATCATCATCATCATCATCATCATCATCTCATCATCATCATCATCATCATCATCATCATCATCATCATCATCATCATCATCATCATCATCATCATCATCATCATCATCATCATCATCATCATCATCATCATCATCATCATCATCATCATCATCATCATCATCATCATCATCATCATCATCATCATCATCATCATCATCATCATCATCATCATCATCATCATCATCATCATCATCATCATCATCATCATCATCATCATCATCATCATCATCATCATCATCATCATCATCATCATCATCATCATCATCATCATCATCATCATCATCATCATCATCATCATCATCATCATCATCATCATCATCATCATCATCATCATCATCATCATCATCATCATCATCATCATCATCATCATCATCATCATCATCATCATCATCATCATCATCATCATCATCATCATCATCATCATCATCATCATCATCATCATCATCATCATCATCATCATCATCATCATCATCATCATCATCATCAGCAGCAGCAGCAGCAGAAGCATCATCATCATCATCATCATCAGCAGCAGCAGCAGCAGCAGCAGCAGAATCATCATCATCATCATCATCATCATTACTATCCTCAAGTTCAAGGCCACGGCGGCCGGTTCGAAATTTATCGCTACGCTCCCTGGCCAGATTTTGCAGTTTTACTGTGATATATCGTAATATTTTGTCCAATTGTTTTCTTCGATGTTATTTGTGATTCTGAATCATGTAGTAATATATTTTAGATCTTTTTCGGCAGTAATTCTGTGGTTTTAGTCCGCCTTGATTCTCGTCCGTCCTGGTCGTATTTTGCTCGTTTCCTCGTCAGGCCAGTTTATCGTCTTCTTTCCATTGTTAACGTCGTTGTGTGCTATAAATATTGGTGTGATTCACTCACATTAGATATTTGAATTTTGCTCATCATAACTACCTGTACTTGTGTATTAAAATTTCTGTTCTACTACATGACGCTGATTTACTCGTATCGATCGGTGCCTATTTTTGAAAGGGCAAAGCAGACACATTGTGTACCAAAATCGTTGGATGTCGTGCAAATACGATTACATGCACTATATGCAGCGTAAGGTGTCACATTTCACGCATTGGTCTGTCTAAGGACCAATTCTGCGTAATTCAAGGGATTCAGCACGACTTTTTGTAGACCATTTTTAAGCAATGTCAGTCTAAACTTGGGCAGAATGGAGCGAAAAATCCTGACAGGCGGATCAGTAGAGAGATGTGCGCTAAAGCGCGCAGCTCTATTTGTCCTACACCCCAATCAGAGAAACAGCCAGCGCTTAGTACAACAGCGAATCTATACCTGGAGCAAATTCCTAGCGTTCTGGCAGACTCGCCTTCAATGCCTATTATTTCTTTATATGACACTAAAGCTCCGATTTGTAATACGCAAATTAGTGATAATGAATGGAAAATGCAAATACCAAAGAAACCAAGAACAATGTCCAGCGACCTGTGACGCCGCAGCCTCAAGATCTTTTACGCAGCTAAATCATGTGATTCCGATCCTCAGGTGCGCTATAAACATGACGTCGTTTTTTGCAAACTGTGATTGATAGACTGATCGACATGGATGAGGGTGGGCTAAACATGCAACAGATCGTTTGTCTCAGTAAGAGAACTGAGGGCAAAAGTCGACCTACGAGGGTGCCTTTTATCGAAGAGGCAAGTCCTAAGTTAATATTGTCCCGACTTAATAGGCTGAATGGTCTAAAGATCCACGTGCGAGCTGACTTAGACCCAGAAGATAGAAAGAAACTCAAGTCTGCGATGATTGAACTAAAGCAACGCACGGACGATGGAGAAATAAATCTCCGTATTGCAAGTTTTCGGGTAGTTACCCGGATTCCTCAGCGAATCCGGATCAACATGTTGCTGATGCTTCAGGCGCGACCAGCGCTTACTACCGCGGCCTGCGCGTAGCCTTTAATAACATCTACAGGCAGATGAACAAGCGCGATGAGCTGTACTACTTCGTAAGGTTTCAGCGACCAGCCATATTAGGCCTTGCTGAGACATGGTTAAACTCCGACATAACCGCTTAAAAAGTGGAAAACGCTTACTCATGCTTCCTCTGTGACAGACCATCTAATGATCGCAATGGCGTTCTACTTTACATAAAGTCTTCTTTGTTTGGGAGACTAGTGAGCGCCTACCAAAGCGCTGATGGTCCGTGTGAGCACTTATGGTGTTCGATCCACCTCAGACGCTGCGCGATGCTCTTGGGCGTGGTATATCGCAGTCCACTGAGCCTCTTCTTGGACTGGTTGCCACATGTCCGCAACAACATTGGTCGTCAGCTGTTCCTACTCGTGGGTAACTTCAACTTACCCCGAATACAGTGGCCTGAGGCTGAACCGTTCCCCGGCCATTGTGAAGTCGGGAGAAAGTTTACGGAGTTGATATTTGAAACCGGGGCCACACACCACATCAACCAACAGACACGCCTAATTGCGCGAGGGACTCCATCGGGCTTAGACCTGCTTGTGATCAGCTGTGAGGGACGTGTGCAAGACATTCAGGTCTTCGAACCTCTGGGAACGAGTGACCACTCGATGATAATAGCCAGCTTGGAACTGCGGCTGCCGTATTCTCCCCCGCTGGAGCCAGCCTTCAACTATTGGAAGGCGGACTTTAATTGTCTCACACGAGAAGCGAGCCAGACGGACTGGTCTTTACTAGAGGATTCGTTTATTGAAACTTGTTGGACTATCATTAAAGTGGGAGTGAAATCATGACACGCCCGACTTTTACCCTTCAAGTATCGGAAAGTTGGGCCAGTCAAACCACATTGGTTTGATAAGGAGTACTGCAAACTGGCCCAATGACGACGCAGACTATAGAACAAATTCATGTTATCTGGCTCTGATGAGGACTACAAAGCGTACAAGGTACAGCGAAATAGCTGTAACAACGCGAAAACAAACAAACGCAGAAGCTTCGAAGAGCAGCTTACAACCGCCGCAAAAGCTGCTCCCAAGTGGTTCTTCGCATATGTGAAGCGGCGCCTGAGGCCTGCGGGCAATGTTCTAGTGTTGGAAGGCTCAGATGGACAGCCCCCAACCTCGAGCAGAGACAGCGCGTCCGTATTAGCTGCACACTTCGCCTCCGTATTTACAAGTGGCCAAATGTCTGTAACGAGTTCGACGAGTACCGCTGCCGCTGAACTAGACAGCCTAAACTGCAGCATTGTAAGTGTACGCAAGCTTCTAGTAAGTCGTGACGGGACGAAGCCTGCTGGGCCAGGTGGAATCCACCAATGGCTTCTCAAATCGGTATCGGCCAACATCTCGCATCCTGTAACATGAGAGTGGAGGATGAGCGGCGCTTTATCTCAGTTAGATATCAGTCATTGCGGTCCGCCGCCGTTATCCATGGCTCAATGGCATAAGTCGCTAATTCGTGAGTCTAAGGTCATGGGTTAGTAGTAGGCAGGATTCAGCGAGTGAGGGTAAATGCCGAGTCCTATTAGAATGAAAGGCCGTCTACCGCATTCCTGGATATGTGGTGGGTGTCTGCATGAGTCTCGACGCGACGAATCTTCCCAGTGCACGAAGCTCTGCTCACATGCACGGAACCGTTACCACTCAAATTGCGCTTACTTAAAACATAGAATAGTGGCACAGAGAATATTTTATTCTGTTTAAGTGGCAAAGATCCAGCTTGAGATTTTGCTTTGACAATCTAAGTTGAGCTGGGATGAGCGCAAGAACAGCTTAGTTAGAGAATCCTGCACTGACTCTGTGTCAGCCCTAGCATATTTTCCCAATAGCTAAACATACGTGGAAAAAATATTGCTTTGAAGATGGGAACAGCTTTAGAAGAGAAAGAGACCAATATCCATAAGCGTATCGGATACGCATATGCAACGAGAAATATCGCCTCTGATGAGCTTTAAATCGCGGTACAAAAGCGATGAGGAAGCTCTAAAGCATATAACGCAAAGCCGCAGATAAGGTCCAGAATTTCGCAAAGAAAGTAAAAAGGGTGTAAAGAAAACACAAAATGTTGAAAAAATACTCGGCGAGTTCGCAAACGCGTCCATTGTCAGAAAAGATGTCGTCATTGAAGCTGAACGAATGAATCGCGTGTCTAATGGAAACCGTCTCTGTGCGACGCTTCTCCGCTGTATGTGAGAGCACTGGCGCGTTACTTCGTTAGCAGATTGGAAGTCGGTCTGTCAAGTGCGGAACCGACATCAGCTGGTTAGGAAGCTATACTTTATTATTTAAAGGCATCCATTCCGACAGCAAGCCTAATTGAATTTGCGTGCTAGAAAGGCTAGAAAGATGTCCAGCACGTCTTGGATACGGTATTGATCGTTCGGACGATCCTCGTTTGACCCAATAGCGTGCGTAAACAAATGGGGGGGGCATAGTTGGCGTGGATAAAGGGGCGTAGCAACTACTTTTGCTGTCGGTGATGGACGTACGATTGCCGCCGCTGTCGCAGTTGTAAAGACCACAGTTGAAATTGCCATTTAATATTTCGTTACACATAATAACAATCACAGATTTAATGTTAGAGTGCTACCGTGAATGCAGCTATTTGAATTGTTAACATACTTGTGTTCAAAATGTACAGGCACACTTTTCGTGCATTACCTGAAGACGCTGTCACCTGACATGAATAAGTGCTCCTAGAACGCAATTGAACATCACTGGTCGCAAATCCGGC